GGCATCTTGAGAATTAGAAGAACTTCTTAGTCATCTAAACATAGTTACTCGAAACCTATGAACATATTACAGAGATGGTATCACTACTCAGAATGTGTATTTAATTACGAGAATGAAAATATAAGCCACAGACTGGGAGAAAATATTTGCAAAACATATAACTAACAAAGGACTGGCATCTAAAATAGACAAAGAACTCTTAAAATCAACAATAAAAAAAAAAAACTAAGAATGGGCAAAAGATCTGAACAGACATCTAAGCAAAGACGATAGACAGATGGAAAATACGCATATTGAAAAGACGCTCAACATCATGTGTCATTAGGGAGTTGCAAACTAAAACAACAATGAGACACCACCACACACCTGTTAGAATGGCTAAAATCCAAAACACTGACAACACCAAATGCTGTCGAGGATGTGGAGAAGCAGGGAGTTTCCTTCATTGCTGGTGGGAATGCAAAACAGTATAGGCACCTTGGAAGAGAGTCTGGCGGGTTCTTACAAAACTAAACATACTCTTACCATGCTCTCCAGCAATTGCACTCCTTGGTATTTACCCAAGTGAGTTGAAAACTTACAACTGCACAAAAACCAACATATGAATGTTTATAGCAGCATTATTCGCAATTTGCCAAAACTTGGAAGCAGCCACGATGTCCTTGAGTAACTGAATGGATATACACTGTGGTACATTTAGACAATCGGATATTATTCAGTGATAGAAAGAAACGAGCCATCTGGCCTAGAAAAGACATCGAGGAAACTTAAATAAATATACGTTGTCAAGTGAAAGAAGCCAATCTGAAAAGACTGCATACTGCCTGAGATTCCAACTCTGTGACATTCTAGGGAAACAGCAAAACTAGGGAGACAGCAAGAAGAATTTCAGTAGTTGCCAGGAGTTCAGGGAAAGGGAGAGAGAGAAAGACAGGTGCGGTGCAGGGAGTTTGGGGGCAGTGACGCCATTCTGGATGTCACTGTAAGGGTAGGCACATCTCATTACTCATTTATCAAAACCCACCACACAGCATGAACCTCAGTGCACACTGCAGACATTAGCTGGCAATAACATATCAATACTGGGTCAAAGAGGAAGGAAAATTTCACAAAAGCATCAAAATTTTTTTTAAAAATCATCATGTCTTTTGAACCACCAATTCATTTATAGCATTCTCTCCTAAAGATTTATCTACACAGATATCAACAGACCTTTTATGTTTTAAAAGAAAAAAAAAAAGTATTAAAAAGGAATGTTGTAAAGGAAAAAGATGAAACCTCATAAAAATGGATAGTGGCAATGTCTAAAAGAGAGGAAAAAAATAAACATGATGAATGAATAGAAAATATCTCTGGAATATCAACAGAATATTATATGTTAAAATTTATATTAAAATTACAGGTTCATTGAAAGGACTCCACAAATCTTGAAGTTGTTGGGAAAATTTGTTTATGTGTGAATATTTGCATTTTTCTAAAGAGGGATAACCACTTTTACTGATTTTTCAAAAGGGTTGATCATTATTGTCGTAGTTAAATATTCAGTAACATGAAAAGATGTTACTATATATTTATTCTGCATTGTTACTGAAAACAGCAGCTTTCAAAGCTAAGTAAATAAGCCTAATATGGACAGAAATAACATATTTCTGAACATACATGTGAATACACACATGCAAATACACCCACTGAAATATTAACATCTATTAGCTTTGAATCATAGGTTTGGGGGTAAATTTTATCCTTTCCCTTCACTCAGTTATGTTTTCTAAATTGTCTACAACTGAACCTTCTATTTATTACCTGTGAAGTTGGAAGCCTTCAATTATACTCACTGAAACTGGCCAGCAGCATAAATTCACAAAGAGTTTCCCACTGGTTAGAAAAAGACGCAGATTGTTTTAAAGTATTTCTTTTTTCTTTTTCTCTGATTCTTTTTAGAGGGTGGGGGAGGAGACCTTCATTTCTTATAGAACTCTGTTCTCACTTTCTAGCCTTAATTAAAACAAATCAACCTCCCTGCACTCCACTGGGTGTGGCTCTGTTTTCTTTTAAGAGAAAAGCAATACAAATTCATCTTAACATATAGACACAGGAGCCCCTGAGAAGAAGATTCCTGGTCAACTGTTAAGTTGCACAAACAGCAATGTGTTAGTCAAGTTAATGAAAAGGCTGCCCTCTCCCTCCGCTCCGTTAGTTATAATATTAGATATTTTTCTGGATTAGAGTAGGCAAAGAAAAACTCCTGCAAGGGTAATTCTGGATTTTCAAACATGGCAGCCCTTCACGATGAACATTAGGTTTGGAACTTGACTTTACCTTGAGTTGGGTTACAAGACTGTGGGTGTGCCCATCTCTTTGAAGAAATCTATTTCAGGCCTTCTGCTTCTCTACCCTATGAGCTTTGCTCAGCCTCTATTCCAATGTTCAGATCAAAGTGGGCTCTGTATCGTGGTTTCTGACCACATAAAAAGCCACAGCTTGTTTTCTCTGAGGTTTGGTCCCAACAGTCAGACAGGAACAACCTCCCTCGTCTCAAGCTACCTGGTCGTGAGCGTCGTTTCCGTGCAAACAGTCCATCCTCTACCTTGCATTTCCCTCGGTTCAGTGTTATCTGTTCTGAACACTTCCAAATGTGCTTATTTTTCTAATCTCTTCTCTGCTATTTTGGCAACACCACTCTTTATCTTGTGGTTCTCATCTCTATTGCTCACATTTCCTCACAATGAGTGTTCATTAAAATATTTCAAATTAAGACCTTTAGTGCTTTCTAACCAAGTGCATCAGGTCTTCCCTTGCAACACATTTTTAATTCTTATCACAGAATTTCAGGCAGTTTGTACATTATATTCTATTAAAAACTCTATTCCACTCTAGGCTGTCACAATTCGGAGATTACAGTTTTCTGCTGGACGTTTTGCTGGGGAGATATTCATATATTCCCTTTGTTGGCTGGCAAACACGGCCCATGAGCCTGTATTTCACACCTCATTTGATATTACAATTTCAACAAAAAAGTATAAAAAGAAGCAATTATTTATTTAGACGATGGAATGGATTGTAGACGGCGATTAGACAAGCGTATATTGTCATGCCAGAGTGACAATCCCTGCCCTTCTTAGGGCCCAGGGGAGGTCAGACGCTAAACGTGAAGAAAGAGAAGGAGAAAGAGGACACTGGGCGTGAGCTTGTCTGATAATTATGTAACTCTCCTTATGTAACTACTTTACTTTGTTCTCCTGTAACTTTTTTTATCTCTTCCAAAGAGAACGCAGAACCGATTCTCATAAAACCAAAAGCGATAACCACGGCCTGCGCTGCTCTTTTAATTTAAAACATTAACACTTGGTCAGTCAAATATTTTGACAAAATTAATTTCCTCTGCATGGACCGTGGATGCCACCATTGTATACCCAGACAATGGTTTCTAGGGACGTAGAACCACTGTGCTACCAGAATCCCATTCTGACTGCTCTAGCACAAAATTAGGACCCGGGAGACTACAGTGACGGGAGCAGCCCACTCCAGCTCCTGTCCCCATCAGCACCCTCTGCCCACCTAGAACCCAAGCCCTTTGTGGGGCCTGATCACACCCCTGGTTCCAGGGCTGGCCATGGTGATTGGTTCAGGGTGAGGTACACGACCCAAGTCACACCAAACAGCCAGTGCTGACCAGCCCTGGGGCTTATGCTGGCATCTCTGGGGAGAGCAGCTTTCCTCCTAAGTGGCCAAGTCAGCAGATGGACACTGGGAGCTGCCACAGGGCCACCGTGCCTCCAGGAGGGCAGAGCCTGGCAGAGAAAAAGCCAACTCAGAGAGAGACAGGGAGGCAGGCTGCTAAGGATGCTGCCTGAGCACCTGGCCCAGCTTTTCTGGTACCAGTCCACCCCTGAGCATCTCCACCTGCATGGGGAACATGACTATACAGCACCTAATGGCATCCACTGGGCAAAGCCACCTGAGAAGCCAAGCAACCAAGAGGTCGTCTTCCACTAGGGACATAAACACTCAGGGCCCCTGTGCAAAGCAGAGAATCAAGCTACAACCTGTGACAGATACCACCTCCAAAGAGTGTGGCAAACACTGCCAGCTGACCACCCAGTGCCCATCCTGCCATCCTCATTCCCCAGCAGCAGAGACCACCTCCCACTACAAAGCCTGAAAATAATATCAAATATTCACTTTCTTGCCTCTTGGGCAAAAGCATTGAACCCACTGCTTATTGATGAGATCTAAAAAGACAATTTCCATGGATATTGTTGGAAAGGCTTCCTTCCCTGGTTAAAAAAAAAAAAATACACACAAAGAGAAAAAGTTCCTTCTTTTCCAGTCTTTAGATATAGCTTGGTGAGTCTGTGATGCCTGCAGCCACCTTGTGACCATGAGGAAACAGGCTGGAGGGTGACAGCCCGTGCACTGGGTATAACGGAGTGGAAAGACAGAAAACCCCTGGGCAACACAGCTGTACTGCTGGATTAACCACCACAGATCCAGCCCCCTCTCAACCTCTTGCTCTGTGAGATGAGGAAAGCCTACTGTGGCAGCCACTTTTAGGGGATATTCTATAACTCACGCTGAAAGCCCCAAGCAAATGTCAAACTCCTAGGCTCTCCCAAAACATTAACAACTCAGGATTTGGGAGCATTCAGCAGGCAGATACAGGTTTCCAGGGAAACCAGGGGTCAGGTGAGGCTGAAAACTGAAAACTCTCATGGGTGTAAGGACGGTGTCCACAGCACTAAGTGTGGAGTGAAAGGCACCCGGGTGACTTGGTCAATGATTCCCAAGAGAAGGCTTTTGACCACACAACCTGGGTCACTTCTCTCCCTCCAAAAGAGATCCTCAAAGGCAGGCAACCTCCACCTGAGGTTGGCCGAGGTCACCCAGGAGGGGACAGCACTCGCCGACAGCTCCACAGGAAAGGGTCTTCCATTCTCATGCTCCCCTCGCCCACCCCTGCCCCCACTCACTCATGGGAGCCTCCTCCACACCTAACGCTATGGACCTCGAAGACTTTAGGGACTAGAGAAGAAAGCAAAGAGAGCAGGATGCGACAAAATACGGTGACAAGTAACAGGCTCGAAAGGGGCTCGTCTGCCAAGCCCCTTGGGCTGAAGCAGGAGCCCGGGGGTTTTAACGCAGGCGGCTGCAAGTCCAGCCACGCTCGCGAGCCCGACCAGCCAAGCAACCCCGTAGGAGATGCGTGTTCAAGAAGCGGGGGAGAAAGTAGAGGCCGGGGGCTGCGTGGAGAAGGCTGCTGCGGCGGGGGGTGGGGGGGAGAGCTCTCTCCACCTGCTGCATGTAGGAGGAGAGATGGCTGGCAATGACCTCCCTCTGACTCCCAGGTGAGTTCGGCCCCGTCACCCCCAAGGCTGGGGTCTGAGCCGGAGAAGACAGGCTGCCTGCAACGCCGCTTGAGATTCTGAAGCCATGCGCCAGCTCCCAGGTGCGACACCAGCAAAACGACTGCGTTTAAGCTCTAAGGGACGATTACCCCACAGCAATCGCTACCCTTGGTTTGCTCATTAAAAAGTACATTTTCCCCTTGCCTCTTAAATCATTTCTATTTCCCCCCATTCTGTTCTTCAGCACTTCACTGCAAACAATAACAATAATAATAATAACAATAAAAATTTTAAATGTGGTTATCAAACTCTGCACTGTGACAAATGTCAACTCGGGCAATTTTTGAGACTGCCAACCTAATTAGGTCATTTGTGTACACAGGCATCGGGGATAAAAGCCTCGCACGGCGGCACAGCCCCGTAATGGAGCCATTCAGAGGCCGTGTGCCCGAGCGGTGCTGATGAGCTGAAAGGAGCACGTTTCCCATTAGGCGGAGAGGCGGCCCTTTGTTTATCCGCGCGTTGTTTTGCTATCAGCTCCAGCAGCCACTGCCGACCCTCCACTGCCAAGTGGAGGCCCCTGGGGGCCTCTGCGCTCACCTGCTCTGCGTGTCGGGGCGATGGCCCATGCAGGTGAGGCTGGCCGTCGTCTGGGTGCTGCCGTTGTCTATTTCTTCCTGCACCGCCCACTGGTCCTCGCTGCTGATCCTCACCGCCGTTATCTTCACACCTGCCGCGGCCTTAATTCTGCGGGGTGGGGGGGAAACACATACATCGTAAAGCCATCGCAGCTTGGAATGTACAGTGATATACGGCGCCAGGGCAGCTCGCTGGGGAAAGCGCCTGTCGCGTGAGGGCACCGGTCCCATGCATTTGGGGACATAACCTAGTCACCTCCCCAAAGGCCCTACCTCCTCATGCCACCACCTTGGGGGTTAGGATTGGAGCATATAAATTTGGGGGAGACACAAACATTCAGACCCTCATACTTATCAACCACAGAACTGATAAAGTATAAAACAATGCGATAATGTAGAATAATATATACCAATAACGAGAGAGGGGTCTACCACCCCACAAAACAACAGGTGAACGTCCAGCTACACTGTCGAGTGAAAGAAGCTGGGCACCAAACAGCGCCCACCGTGCGATTCCACTTACAGAAAGTCCGAAACAGGCACACGAAGCTCTGGGGTGGAAGTCAGCCCGGCGGTTGCCCCTCCGTGCGGGGCAGTCGCCAGGCGGAGTCCCAGTGAGGCTCCAGGGCGCCTGCAATGTTCCGCTTCTTCATCCGATGCTGACTGCATGGTGGGCTATGAGAATCCACCAAGCACTTACTCGAGGGGGGAGGGGGGCATGGGCAATATAAGTAACCTTAACACTTGTATCCCCATAATACGCTAAAATAAAATTTAAAAAAATAAAAGAATCCATTGAGCGGTGCCCACTCGTGTGTACTCAGTGTGTGCTGTAGTTCGATGTAAAGCTCAAAACAGAGCAAGTGTTTTTGCAACGGGGATGCAAGCAGAGCCAGGCGACACAGTGGCCCCACCACTGCCCATGCTCAGTGGAAGGTCTCAAGATGAGGCAGACCACGGCCAAGTTCACTAAGCAAAAGATTTAGATAAGCCTGTCTACTAATGTTCCAGTGAAACACACAACCACAATAAGGAAAGTGCTCATGAGGAAACTAAACTAAGAAGGAAGAAAGAGAAAGAGAGAGAGAGAGAGAGAGAGAGAGAGAGAGAGAAGGAGAAAGGAAGAGAAGAAGGAAGGGAGGGAGGGAGGTAAAGAAAGAAAGAAAAGCAAGGACGACTATAACCTAAAGCCACAACCCTCTGAAGACAACACTGGTGACGCGTTGATGGTAAACTGTCCTGCTCAAATGCTGACGACTGCGCAATGCCAGGAGCTGTGTGCGTCTGCGAGCTGCCCAGTGATATTTGTGGGTCCTAACAGCTGAGCTTCACTGAGGCCACTCCCCTGCGCCAGACACTTTCCCAGGGCCTTAGGCAAATGGCCTCATGTGTTACCTGTATCGACACACTTATTCCTCGTTATAGCACTACGAGTGAGGCTCGTCATCCCAGGTTTACAGGAGGAAGAATCTGCAGCAGTGAGGGGTTAAGCAGCAGGACGGAAACCTAGAAGGGGAGGCCGTCGTGGGGGCAAGACAGAGCCCAGGGACCCTCACTGCTGAGCCTGCCCTCCCGAGCCGGTGTTCCTGCCAGGCTGCCTGAGGTCAGGTCCTGGCTCTGCCACTGACCCTGGCTGTGATGAGGCTCCTAGTCTCTCAAATGGGACTCCTCCCCTCCAAGTACTAAGCAGGCCCGACCCTGCTTAGCTTCCAAGATCAGACAAGATCCGGTGTACTTGGAGTGGTATGGCCATAAACTGAGCCCTGGATTCCTAGTGTGAGAAGTTCCTTTCTGCTGTTTTAAGTCACCATGTTTATGGTCATTTGCTGTGGTGGCCCTAGGACACTAACACAGTGGCCATCTCATAAGGTTGCTGCAAGGGTTAACTGACATAATGCAATGCAAAGTGCTCACACAGAGCCAGTGCTACATACGTGTTTATTATTATTGCCTTATGCTGCTATCTGTGGTCCCAGGAAGGAATCAAGAAACTCAGCCTGTGTGGGGGAACAATGGGTTACATGTAAATGACAAAATAAAGAGAAATAAATTCTAATGATCTGTGCTTTTGGAGTGCTGTGGAACACTGGGCATTCCTACCGCCCTCGGAGAGCTGGGTGCGCCCAGGAACAAAGATCAGGGAAGTGATGGAGGTAGTGATGAGGAGGGGAGGAGCCTGACTCCCCAGATCTCAAATTCCAGCCGCAACACTGACTAGCTCTGAGACCTCGGAGAGGCACTGAACTTCCGTGACTCAGTTTCCTTGTCTGTATAATTTGGATATTAATAATATCTACCTATAGTGTTGTTATTATGAAGATTAAGTGGATCAGTGTATATTAAGTGCTTAGAAGAATGCCTGAGACAAAGAAACTGATCAGTGTCTGCTATTATTATTTTTCTGACAACAAACTACCATACGCTCTCCAGAGATCAAACGCTCCAGCACCCAGGTCCCCTGCTTTGTGAGGTGTCCTTTGGAACTACTCTAAGTCTCCAGTTGGGATCCCAACCACCTCCCCTCCAGATATGATTTCCTGATCCTACTCCTGTTCCTTGGCAGAAAATTCCTCTAACATCCCAAGGCAGGTCAAATGTCTCCACGTGCCATAGTAGATCCATGTATTTCAGAAAGGCTGCTCGAGAGAACATCCAACCCTCAACCCTTTGGACTCAAAGGACATCACTGTACACCTGGAAAACTCTCAGAAAGTTTGTGATAGTTGCAATTGATCTTTTAAATCAAATTCTGATTCATGTCTACTAAAATGTCTAGAAGTTGGGCCAACTTCTGTACAACTCACCAGAGACATTCAAAGGATGCCCCCAGTTCTTCAGGCACCTGACTCTGGTGAGCTCTTATGCATGCGGGCTATCTCTCTCTCTCTCTTCTCATGGTCACAATGTAGCTACAGCAGCTCCAGATCTCACTTCCTTATCCACAATGAAAAAGCAAGATTCCTTCCCCCAGAATGAAAATCCTGGAGTCAGGTTTTCATTGACTGAGTTAGATTGAGAATTCAACCTTAGACCAATAACTGTGTCCTACAGGATGGGTGGGAAATACTCATTGGTTTAGCCAGTCAACAACCATCCATGCAGAGGCTGAAGTTAATCCCATCCTAATCACATGGTAGGGGTAAGCCAGAAGTCACTCCTAAAAAAAAATTCAAATTAAAACAGAACAAACCAACACTGAGTACCAAGACACAAACCTAAAGCCAAATTATTGACGTTTTGCTTCCCTCTTAAACACAAGTTATGAAATTGTTCCTAAATCCCAGTCCTTAGTCCAAATCCCTACTAATTTTAGCTTATATTTGTTAGAACAATTTAAGCCCAGAAAAAATCCATGTCTTGAATATTCATTAAGTTTGTTTCAGAGAAATATCTTTAGGCGTGGTGATATTCTTAGCGCTTGTTATTTAAAAGCTACACTATCTAAAGCTACGTGGAAAAATAAATAGGAGCTGAACATGGAAAAAGATATAACCACAAGGTGGCAGTCCCCCCCACTGAGTTTTATTTGGGCGTCACTGTGACAGAATTGCATGCAAGGGAAGTCCCTCACAGCAAGAGATGGTCCAAATGCTATGACACACAGGACCACCCTCCAGAAGGGGAGGGGGGTGAGGGAACCCTCTGGGGAGAGGAAGATGCAGGACAGGAGCTCACATGTCTAGATAATGCCACTCAGCAGCACAGTCTCTGGGTCAGAGTGCTCCAAAGGGCAGCTGCAGCTTGGGTTCTTTTACAGCTACAGGGTTTATCTTATTCATGACTAACAGACATTGGACTCAGTTTTGCAGGGTGTGCACAATAGGCAGGCTCCAAATGGCTAAAAATCTGTTTATTTGGGCTATGTTTAAAACAATTGGATGTGTAAAAACTGGTGATTGGTGCCAGCATGCTTCTGAGCTAACAGGTCCAGGCCTGTTGTAAAGAAATAAATAACACAGGGGCCAATACCCAGGGACCATCTTTGGCTCATTTATGCAATAACCACTTTGCGACATATGTAGAAAACTTAAATTTATATTTCCCTAGGGTTTTCATTATATAAGTATTTCTCGCATGAACCCTTGAAATTATGGGATTACACAGCGAAGGATAAATTGGCAGAACAAGAAACTGCTCATTGAAGAACTGACCTTCCAAGAAACCGGTCTCCACTTACACATGGCCTTTGGGTAATGGCAGCACCTACCCCCACCCACCACTTCAACACCTCTGCAACCTTGGTCGGTCAGGCCCTGCTGATTATCGGCTATTCGTACAACGCAAACGCAATGCAAATCTATCGTACAGTGAAATTGCAAACCTTATAATATTGGAAGATGGACAAATGCCAGCAAAGCTACTGACAGAGAGAATGAGGCAAGGGCCTATAGTCACCCCTCGAGAGAGGTTTATTGACAGCTAACAAGTGAAGAGGACAGAATCAGCAGGAATGATGGGTGCTTTACAAGACAGCAGTCTGAATGGCAGAGTAGCGTGACCCTCTTGGGGAAACCAGGGAAGCCCTCCAATGTTTCTGCTAAATGGATCCTTCTTGTGATCCTACTGCCAACATCAAATATGAAATGAAAAATGCCAGATTTGGAAGACAACAACAAATTATCAACAGGAAATGCATTCTTTGTTATGATTATCAAAGGGTGGGAATCACTGAACCCAAATTTTGTTTAATATACGATGAAATAAATGTGTCGCTGTCATCTTTATTTCATTTCTCAAGGAAGAATAAAATCCAATCAAGTTTTATTTTTCTCATGATTTTCTATGAAATTTTGGTTCTTATTTTTAGAGGATTGATTTTAATTAGCCAAATATTCTGGGGTTAAAAAAGAGTTCCCCATTTCACCCTTGGAGCTTTGAATGGCAACACTTACAAAAAATGCATGTTTTATGTGTGTGAAAATATGCCAATATCCTACATTAGTGGGGAACAGAACACTGGCTTCTTCGTGGTTCCTAAAACAGCACATTCTGTCTGCCTCTAAACCTTTGCACTTGCTGTTCCCTCTGCCTGGAATTCTCTCCCAGAGACACCAACCAGCATGACTCATTCCCTAATCTTCAGATTTGGGCAAGGGTCACATCTTAAAG